AAGTTATTTCCCTTAACCAGGAAATTAACGTTATTAGAATTGACAAGACAGTTGACCCTGAGAGGTCAGCTAAATATCTACAGCGGATCTAAAATATTAATAATTAATTATTTATAATTATTAATATCAATTATTCATATTTCCCATGAGCTGATTGGTTACACCATTATAATCAATGAAGCTCTCTAGACTGCAAAAAGAATCTTGTTTGCATCGTATCAGCACTTTTTTTTGTTTCTTTGGTTTGATGAGTCAGTGAGTGTGTGTCAAGCACTGAACAAAACTCTGGTATTTCCAGCGCTGCCTAATCTAAACACTTCTGGATTCGCCACTACATTCATATGCTCAACAGAAATGTGTGTGATTGGTTAAAATACTGCATGCTTTTTAAGCAACACGCATAAAAATAAAATCTGATATAACATCAGCATGCCTGTTAGATCCTGGACCCACTAAATTATTGAAAGAGTTGTTACCTGTAGCAGAAGAACCGCTTCTCAATATTAACTCGTCGTTGTCTTTAGGTTACGTGCCAAAACCATTCAAACTGGCGGTTATTAAGCCTCTTATTAAGAAACCACAACTAGATCCTAGTGAACTGGCAAATTACAGACCCATCTCAAATCGTCCTTTTATGTCTAAAATTTTAGAAAAAGTTGTGTCTGCTCAATTGTGCTCCTTCCTGCAAAAAAATTATCTTTATGAAGAATTTCAGTCAGGTTTCAGGCCCCACCATAGCACAGAAACTGCACTTGTTAAAATTACAAATGACTTGCTTCTTGCGTCAGACCAAGGCTGTATCTCATTGCTAGTTTTACTTGATCTTAGTGCTGCGTTCGACACTATAGATCAGTGTTTCCCAACCGGGGTGCCGTCTGTCGAGAGCAGGGGTGCCGTGTAAAAAATCCTTTTTTAATATTTTTAAATTGCTAAAATTTCTGATGTTGCCAATAATTAGAGACGCACCGAAATTTCGGCTGCCGAAAATTAGTTCACCGCTCAGGTTTCACTTTCATGTGGTGTGACGCTCTGTGTATTATCCCGCTCTGTGCGTGTGCGCTCCACTCGTATACCGTTCAAGTGAATCGGAACAGCAAAGTCCACTCAAAAATTGAGCAGACAGGAAACATGGATGTAGTACAGTATTGTTTCTGTCTGCAATAGTCCTACTGTGCTGTAACATGGTGTGGTAAATGGGCAACTCTGGTAACGCTGCCCTCTCTTCATTGATCTGCTAACCGCTATGTTATGCTCACGTGTTCTGATAATAATAGCTTTCTGGGACTAAACATTATTTGGATAAATGGTAAAAAAAAAGTTAAATATCTTAACCCTACTGTTAGACCTACCTGAAAAACTAAAAAGCTATTTATTTAATTCGAAGGCCTGTTGTTATTTTTTATTTGTGCTATCATTATTAATTTCTTTATTTGTTCTTATTTTATTACTGACTACTTGCTTGTCAGCTTGATTTCAAACTTTGAATTGAATAAAAAATATCTTGTGCTACTGCACCAAAATTACCCCACTGTAAAATAAAATAAAAACACTGAGTGAGCAAAAATTTGTGAGATATCTAGTTATAATGGTAATTAAATAATGTTTACATATGTATAAAAGCCTACATTAAAATCTGTCATATAAATTGGTCTCTTCATTAGAAATTAGCCTACTGATTGCCACCATTGATGGACAATTTTTTTAATATTAAAAATATCTCTCTTTGGCCAAGCACTCAAATAATGCATCTCATAATCTTGTACTGCAGTTACATCTGATTAAATGCACATTATTATTCTTTAGTTTGGGTTAAAAAAAAATTAGCTACGCTAATTATGTCTCTATTTGCTTCTCTGTTTCTGTAACTAGGATTTACACAAGCTTCAGTCTGGATCCAGAACACCTGAGAAGAGATGATGCCAACCCCTCAGAGGACCTCAGATGATGCCAACCCTGAAACTACACACAGAACTACCATATTTTGCTATAAGTTTGATTGCATCATATAATAATTGCTGTTAAGTGTTCATTGTCTGTTTGATTACGTCTTTAATTGATTTTTCCGTACATTTCTGCCATATGTACATTAACTGACAGTCACCACTGATAAGCTAACACTAAATATTGTAGAAACTTAATTTGCTGTAAAGTTGTTTTGCAATGATTTATATCGTGAAAAAAACACAGTACAAATAAACTTGAATTGAATCAGCAGGTCTAAATTAAATATTTTGCCCCCTTACTGTAAATTTGGTATGCTATTTTTGCCCAAAGCCCTCGTTAATTTTAAACCGTACTTGGGTTGTTAATAATTCATCCTTAACCTAGGAAAAAATATAATTGTGAACAAATGTTATAGCTATTTTATTATTGTTGTGAAGATAATAATGACTTTTGTGTGTCTATGCGAGGTTAGTGAATGAAAACCACTGTCTACAATAAAAACAATATGGTATTGTGGTATTGTTCAATTATTTTTACTACTGGAGGTGAACAGTGAACAAAAAATAAATAAATGTATAATATTCCAGTGATAGCTGTGGTGTTGAGTGTAGCTGCTGGTGAAATGTACTCACTTCAGTATCTTCAGCTCACACACAGGATTCTTCAGTCCCTCACAGATCTCTTTGACTCCTGAGTCTAGCAGACGACTGCTGTTCAGGTTAATCTCTTTCAGGATGGTTTTGGAGGAGAGAACAGTAGCTAGAACTAAACAGCTTTTCTCTGTCAGCTCACAATTATTCAGCCTGAACACAAAAACAGCATTTCAGTCAGGACCACTTTCGTCAAGTATATTTATTACAGTTATATTGCATACTGTTAGTGTTGGGTTTGAAGGAGGGAGTTTGATTTTGAGCAGTGATGCGATAAAAGAGATGCTGAAAGAACAGAATTAAATGGAGCACTGTGATGAGTGTCAAGACTGGATTGGTACACGTCTGAAACAGCTGACTATCCGCTGATGCGAGCTTGACTGACGTGGCCTGCCTGAACTAACATGATGCTTGATTATTATTATTCAGCACATGTTCAACACACATCAGATCAACAGCTCTTCATATCTGATCACACGTGACTGACAGTCTTTAATAATGAATAATCAAAGAGGTTTCAATGTATAAATCATGTTCACGCACATTATTTTCTCCAGTTTGCTGTGAGAGTCCATCAAAAGAGCAGAGAGTTTCTCCCCATCCAGATCTCCTAATCTATCTTCACTCAGATCCCTTGAGCTGTTACACATACATACAGTTAGTCCATGCATGTGCTGAAGTTGAGTAGCAGAAATGGCAAAGTCAACATAGATCTCACAAAAGCTATAGAGAAGCTATGGAGAATAAATATTTGTGTTACTTTAGAAAGTCTAAGGCTATATGGAGATTTCCAAGACATTAAATGCTCTCAGCCTTATTCCTTAGCTTAAAGTGTGTCGTACCAGAAAACCTTTGAGGGTGTTGAAGAAAAAGCACAATATCATTAAATGTTTAATCAGAGCAACTGAGAAAAACCTGCAATGTACAGCCAAAGACTTGCAAGATGACCCGACGAAAGGAGAAAAACAATTTCAATGCAGTGTATAAGAAGAACACTAGACAAGTATGGCCTTCATGTTGAAGCATCTTGCTGAATACCACTCTTGATCAAGAACAACAAGAGGCTGACTTGAACTTGCTAAAATTCATTTGTGTAGACCTGTCGAGTTCTGGAAGAATGTTTTATGGAGTGATGTGACCAAACTGGAACTTTTTGGACCCATGGATCAGCAGTATGTCTGCTGCAAAAAAGGCCAATCTCAAAAGCAGAAGAACACCATCTCCATCGTCAAACTTGGAGGTGGATCAGTGCTGTTATGGGGTTGCTTTACTGTAGCGGGAAGTGGAAATCATGACCGTATGAAGGACATCATGGATTCTTTGATGTATCAGGCCATTTTTACAAGAATTGTGATGCCTTTGGTGCAAAGACTGAAGCTGATGATCAATGGACTTTCCTGCAGGACAGCCATCCCAAAGAACACATCCAAATCTACTTTTGCTTGGTTCAGGGATCAGTCATAGAATGTTCTTAAATGGCCTGTTCAGTCTCCAGATTTAATTCTCATTGAAAATATCTGGTTGAATTTAAAGAAAGCAGTGGCAATGGGAAAGCATGACCGTATGAAGGACATCATGGATTCTTTGATGTATCAGGCCATTTTTACAAGAATTGTGATGCCTTTGGTGCAAAGACTGAAGCTGATGATCAATGGACTTTCCTGCAGGACAGCCATCCCAAAGAACACATCCAAATCTACTTTTGCTTGGTTCAGGGATCAGTCATAGAATGTTCTTAAATGGCCTGTTCAGTCTCCAGATTTAATTCTCATTGAAAATATCTGGTTGAATTTAAAGAAAGCAGTGGCAATGTGAAGAGCAAAGATTATCAGTGATCTGGAAGCTCTTTCAGGCGAGGAATGGGCCAAGACTGTAGTAGAGAGGTGACAGAAGCTTCTAAGCACTTACTAATCAGCGTTTATTGGTGATTTTAAAGAATAAAATATTCTGTGCAAAATTTGACTTTTTGAAGTGTATTAACAAACTTTTTCTAATACTTTACTGATGCCTTTGTTGAATTGCTTTCATTGAAATGTTGTTCTCCGCAGCAAAATGCCTTGCAGGTCAAGGGGGTTGAATAATTTTGATTGCAACTGTATTAGAACCTTCTTCAGTGATACTACAGTCTGAAAGTCTACATAAAGAATAAATAAATAAATATACTGAACAAATGCCAATATGAGATTTGCATGATAATCATACTGTGAAATTATTATTTTTTATTTGATAATTATAATAATATTTTGTATTTTACAGTACAATACTTAAGCCTAAACCATACTTACAACGCTACATAGAACAAGCAGCTTGGAGAAGGATTTCAGTTTTGAAGGATGGGATGATAAATTTACTATTGTAATATTTATGTCTTAATTTCTTTTCTTTCAAATGTCAAGTCCTCAGGCTTTTATTTTGGTAGAAGACTACACAGTGACCTTTAAGTTTGTGCTTAGTTCACAACAAGTTTATAAACACTTTGTTGTACAAATCTGCTGAAAGCTGTTAACATCATCTGCCAAAAAATGTTGGAAATTACATGAACGTAAAATTAAGTGAACCTTCCAAATTCATGGGAAGGCAACTCGACTCGACTCAGACATCTCACAGGCGTTACACAGCGGATGTGTCATCTGTACTCTATTCTGATGTTCAAGCTTCAAAACAGTGAATCTAACACTAGTGCGCCGGCAAAATTCACTTCAATAATGAACAAAGTAGCATCAATTTAGCTTTGAATGAAGTTGATTGAAAAAACTAAGCTGCTTAGGGTGAAGTCAGTACACACTAATATTTGTCCCAAATTATTGTTAAAGGGGTCATATGATGCAATTTCAAATTTTCCTTTCTCTTTGGAGTGTTACAAGCTGTTTGTGCATAGATAAGATCCTTAAAGTTGCAAAGACTAAAGTCTCAAACCCAAAGAGATATTCTTTATAAAAGTTAAGAGTCAACCACGCCTACCTAAAACGGCTCGTTCTAACACGCCCCCACATGTCTACGTCACTGTGTGGGAAGATTTGTATAACGCCGCCCCAATGTTCACACAAAGAAAGAAGGCATAACTTTGATTCTCGCTGTAGTATTGTTGCCGCCGCCATGTCGTGAAGACACTGTGTGTTTCGTTGTGAAAGTGAAACTACTTTGTTTGGCCTTCCAAAAGAGGACACAACTAGAAATCAGTGGTTAAGTTATATTTAAAACACTGTTCCAGAACACTTCAAACCAAATATTCAGATGTGTGCAGCGCATTTTACGGAGGACTGTTTTCTGAACCTGGGAGTGTAGCCTACAATGTTGTCTGTGCACAAAGGCTGTTTCTAAGTGTGGCAATTCCAACTTTGCAAGGACAGTCTGGCGCTTCTGACTCACAGTCTGTAAGTACGTTTCATATTTAAATAATTTGCCACTGATGATTCAAACGCGAGTTTTAAGCAGTGTAGAGTAGCGCTTGTTGTTTGTCGTTTCTCCGATCACAAATGCAGATATGGTTTTATTTACGCGGCATGATACGCAATGCAACGCGTAAAAAGACAGTATAAGTTATCATAATCAGTAATTATGTCCCCACTGGATGCAACAGATGCTTAGCTTGTAATGGCTTTTATTGGTTTTGTCTCATCGCGCGGGGGGGGGGGGGACACGCCATCACAGTATGGGGGGGGGGGTAACATTTCCATCACACGCTTGAGGTATTCGGCCAATCACAATGCACTGGATAGCTGGCCAATCAGCATACACCTCGCTTTTTTAGAACGATGAGCTTTGTAAAAATTGATGCGTTTCAGAAAGGCGGGGCATAGAGAAGTAACAATAGTGTACAGTATGTGGAAACCACCATTTAATGTTTTTTTTAACCTTAAACAACGCATAAACACATTGCATTACACCAAATACACAATGTCAGTATTTTTTAGCAACGTCATGTGATCCCTATAATGTAATTTAATGGAAAACTATGCGAGTTGTGTTGTAGTTATTAGCCACTAACAGATTTTGAGTGATGCCACCAGTGTTTGAACACACATAGAAAACAATAGATTTGAATTTTAAAGACATGGCACTTCTCCAGTGTGCTGATGCTAAATGTTGGAGGGTGCTGGTTGAAGAACAAGATTTATTGATACTAACTCATGATCTGCTCACATGTAAATGCACTTTGCTCTTAAGCATGTGACACTGCAGACTGTATATTTAATTCAATTGCAGCCTTTTGTGATCTGATAACTGCACTAACCCATATCACAATTTCGAGTTTATTTTGATTAATTGTGCAGTCCTGATGAGAAGTGTAAAATATTTTCACATTTATGAAACAGTGGTGGGTCACTAGTCTGGGTAATGGGACACACTTTTAAAATACTTACTTCAGCTTTTGCAGTCTACACTGTACATTTTCAAACAGAGTCAAGATGATCTTCATTCCTGGGTTTCCTAGTTTATTCTCACTCAGATCCAGCTCTGTCAGATTTGAAGGGTTTGAATTTAGAGCTTCAGCCAGAACATGACAAGCTCCTTCTGTGATGCAGTTGTTCTTCAGACTGCATAAAGAGAAAACACTTCAGTTTTAATCTGAATATTTACCAGTATGTTTCAGCTGACAGTTGACAAATACTGGTGATGATGATGATGATGATGATAACCACATTACAAAAGACATAAAAAAACACCCAGCAGCAAGAATTTAA